AGGTGTTTAATGACAATGAACTCAGCATAGGGCACATGCAATAATATACCGCCTAGTTGTTTGCTAGAAGTGCGCTTGGGTTCTAATGACTAAAGCAGGACTCAGACTGCAGAGGGCATGAGTTTGTACAGAGGCACAATGTGGCCCTGCTCTATGCAATACAGTATTACTATTAATGGGCGGGAATGGAAGAGTGACTCCTTACTAAATACCTACCCCATGATTATCAGACTGCTGGGGCTGCACACTACACTACAGCTCTTCTTCTGGCCCTAGCATGGGGACCCCAGTGAGAACAGGCTACCAAACAGCTCTCCAAGCCCACTGCACACTATAAATAGTTTACTGGATCCCTAGGTGTATGAAAGCTCCCCAGAACAAACACTGTCGGCAAAGTTTCCTTCTATTTAAACTGGTCTCTGAAATAAAGGTCGAAGGGGAGCGGGCTGGGAAGAGAAGAATTTCATACCCTGGGGTGGAGAGTAGGGAAAGGAAACAGCTCAGCAATTCCATGCAGCTAGGGGACGTTTGCAAGACACGGGGGCTCTAGAGGCTTTTCCAGTGTAGCTTGCAATCATCCTGTTGTTATGGGCGGTGCTAATTCCTCTAGGCCCAGGAGTGGGGGAGGGAGTGTGCTACCCCCGCCCATATATGCGGGGCCGGGGCGGAGCCCTTTCCCGTCGGGAACGTTGACGCCTCGCCTTGTTGCAGGCTCCCGGCGCCCTCACTGGCCGCTCCCAGGTGTCACTCAAGCAGCCCAAGGTGAGGTTCCTTTTATTTTCCCGCCAGCGCCCGGGCCGCTCGTCCCTACTGCAGCTGGATCGGGACCCTTGCTGGCGTGGGCGCTGCAAACGCAGGGCCGGAGTAAGTTAAAAAATAAAGCGGGGCTGTGCGGGATACGAGAGCAACATTTTTTCCGGGTGGGAACCGCTGCTGGTGCTGCCCCTGAGATGAAGCTCTAGGTTTCCCTTTGGGGGGCATGCGGGGCTTTTTTTTTTTTTAGGACTCTCCGAGTTGTTCATAGTTTGCAAGACCAAGCTCGCTCTGCGTGCACTGGAAACCAGCTACTCGGGGCCATTTGCTGGTGGGGAGCTGTAGCTAACAAAGCGTTTGTGGTCTCGTCTCTGACTGCAGCGTGTACGGGAGTCCGGGGGCTGTAGCGTCCAGATAGTTCTCTCGCTGCTGCTGCCGCCGCTGCCTTTTGTTTGCGGCTTTTCCTGGGGTGATGCACCGCTTAGGAGCCGCTAAACACTCGACCGTGTCGTTACACCCGCAGGTAACTGCGGCGGGGTGCGCGCCCCTCCCCGGGGCTTGTGCCTGCGGCGGGAGCGCTCGCAAAGCGCCGCCGGACCTCGCCCCCCACTTGCGGGGCAAGAGCCTCGCCTAGCCGCGGCGGCAGGGCCAGGGCAGCGGCGGGGCGCTGCGAAAGGCTCCCGGCGGAAGTCACGCCTCGCGCTTGCCGTGCGGGATCGCACGCGATGGAAAGGCGGGGAGCGGCGGGCGGGCGGGCTCTGGGCGTGGTAGGGAGCGGGGCCTCTGAGTGCAGCCGCGCCGCGTGCCAGGATCCCCGGGCAAGCCAGGGGGCAGGGCGGGGCCGCGTGTGCTGCAGAGAGGGCGCACGTGGTGTAGAGGGGCCGGCTAAGGTACAGAACAGCTGCCTTCCAATCCGTCCTCAAGCCTTCCGCTTGCCGCCCAATCTCCCCAGATCCCTGGCCACTAAAGCGTCCCACCCTGCGCCTCGTCTGCCAATTTCTGTGCACTTTCACATCCCCTGAATAGAGAGGGATTCTTCCTCTTGCAAGGACTTCTCTTTCCCACAGCGTGAGATGCCATCTTCTCTGATCTGTAGTTCCCTTTTCTTGCTGTGGCTCATCCACCCCTCTGCAATGCAAGCTGCCATTTTTCCTAACAAGCTTTTTGGCAAGTCCATGTCGTCATTTTACCTAAGGGGGGGGGGCAGGGGCTGCAAACTGAAGATATCGTTGTGATTGCTGAGTTTGGGCAGGCATGATATAGACAAGCAAACACAAAAAGGGGCAGGAGAGAGTGCATATCAGCAGCAGCCTACAGTAAATAGATGGATTTGGGATCCACCGTAGAGTCATTCCTTGGTGTGACCCATGTGCTCAAGAGTGAACCTGCAGAAAAAGTGTGAAGTTCCGTTTGCTAAATTTTTTGCATAATTTAACTTAAATGCGAACCTGTCAGTTGCATAATTAAGTGTAATGTTTGAGTGGATGGTGAAAGGCTATTGATACAGATGACTTTTGGCTTCCTTTTCTACACTAGAGTAATGTAGCTATAACTTGATGTGCAAGAATTCTAGATTTAACCTATTAAAAAACAACTTCCTTTTAAAATAGGACTGTGTTGGTGGAGGGCAGGGACAGGATTGGAGACTGTTCAGAATTCTTATTGAACCAAGAAGAAAGTTCAGATAAGCATAAG